GGCAAGAATGGAGGATTTCCTAATAGCTGAGGACTATGAACTATGAACAATGGTGAATCAAGGACCACCGACTCGGACCAAACATAATGGGGAAAATAAGACTGTTCCCAAAGACCCCTCTAAATCTGTGGCAGCAGATTTCAGAATGATGGAAAATAATGCAAAGGCCAAGAAGATCCTCATATGTGGACTTGGTCCCGAAGAGTACTATAAGATAATTGTACACTCAAATATAAAGGAGACCTGTGATGCACTTCAAACTTCTCATGAAGGAACTAATCAAGTGAAGAGATCAATGATTAAGCTGCTAATGAGAAATTATGAGCTCTTCTCTATGAGGGATCTGAACCCATTCAGGAGATGATGACTAGGTTCACTATAATCACAAATGAACTGAAGTCACTTGGAAAGGTATTCACTTATGAAGAATTGGTTAGCAAGGTTCTATGGATTATCTCAGCTTCATGGGAATCAAAAGTCACAACCATCCAGGAAGCAAAGGAGTTGGTTAAGATTTCACTGGACGAGTTGATTGAAAACTTAAAGACTCATGAGATGAGAAAGCTGAAACTGCACAAGGAGGAACCTAAGAGGGACAAGGCCTTGGGTCTAAAGGCATCCGAAGAAGATAAGTATAACAATGATGAAATTGATCTAGCAATGTTTTCTAAGTTTAAAAGGTTCATGAAGAATTCCAAAAGAGCATCTAAGAGAGAAAACTGTGGCAAACCGAAGCAGTTTGACAAAGCTTCATACGATGGATGCTAAAAGTGCAACAAGCTAGACCACATGGTCTAAGACTGCCCAATGTGGGAATTGAATGAAAGAAAGAAAGAGCTGCAAAAGAGAAAAGGGAAAAAAAGAAAGAGAAGGGCCTAAAGAAAGGCAAAATCCTAGGCAAAGGATTCACTAAAGCCATGAAACAAGTATTTCTAGCATCATATGAGGACAATGGAAGTGATAAAGAGGAAGAGAAGGAGGATGAGGCTATAAGTCTTTATGTTGTGATAGATGCACATAAGGCAGTTGAGACTGAACCCACCCGGTGCAACTAGGAATGAACATTGGAAGACCTCCTCTGTTTGATGGACACCACTATGATGAATGTAAGATGTGTATGAAAGTGTTCCTTCAGGCCACTAATTTTGACCTACGGATAATTGTAAATCATGGACCAATTATCCCGACCAAAGTGGATAGTAAATGAAACAAAAGTATCAAGAGAGAGGATGATTATGATGTGGAGGATCATCAAATGATCTAGAAAAATGCTAAGGCAAGGATCTGCATTATAGAAGTTTACCAAGGAGTGTCTTCTCAAAGTGTCCTCTTGCATCTCTGCTCATGGTATATGGAGGATGTTGGAGGCTGATTATGGAAATGAAAACATTGAATTTGCCCTAATGGCAATTGAAGAAAGCCAAATAGAAGAGGAAATGATGGGGATGATAGCCATGAGTGACTTAGAGGCTGAAGATGAAATAAACAAGGTAATTTTCTAACTTGAAAGAAAATATCCATGCTATGTCTAAAATGCAGCTAATAGCCATAATAGTGACCATGATGAGTGAGATGGATAGGTTGAGTGCTGTAAATGATCAGTTAATAAGCAACCTTTCATGTGTTAAGCTTGACCATAAAAAACTTGAATCTGACAAAGCAGATCTTGAAAGACAGGTCAAAGATCTTAAGGTCGCATATGGCAAGGGAATAATGAGTTATCTGCAAGACAATCTTGAAAAGGAGTTGAAAAAGCTTAAAGATAGTCTTTGTGATGCTAATTTTAGGAATAATGTATTGTAAGAAAATCTTGAAAAGGCAGATTATGAACTATCTAGGCTAAGAAAATGGCATATATCCTCAGATACACTATATCGGCTAAATGAAAATTGTAGCACTAATAAATCAAGAATTGTTCTAGAAAACCTGTACCTAGGTTTGATCCTAAGTATGCAGGAATCTCTGACAATAAGATGTGCACTCACTATGGGAAGGTAAGACACCTAAGATATACTTGCCTGCTTTAATTCATGCTCAATTCAAAAACATCTTTGGGCTATTTAAACTTGTGGAAAAGGAAGAGAACCCACAATCAATCCCCTTCTCCAAACTAAGCGGATTAAGGTCAAAAGTAACAGACCATGGGACTGAACTTCAAGTGTAAGAAAAGACCATGAGACTGAGTTTAAAAAATCTAAATTCCTTGAGTTCAATAGAACTCAAGGAATTGATCACGACTTCTCTGCACCCAGAACTCCAAAACAAAATGGTTTTTTGGAAAGAAATAATAGGTCTCTAGAAGATATGGGCGGGGCCATGCTAATTTTTAGTGGACTGCCTAAGAGTTTTTGGGCTAAGGCAGTCAATAGTGCCTGTTACTTGTTAAACAGATACATGGTCAGACCCATTCTTGAGAAGACTCCCTATGATTTACTTTGAGGAAGAAAGCCCAACATCACTCATCTAAGAGCCTTTGGGTGCAAATGTTTGTGCACAACAATGGCGAAGAAGCTCTAGGCAAGTTTGATGACAGAAGTGATAAAGGAGTTTTCCTGGGCTACTCACCACATAGTAAAGCTTACAAAGTATTTAATAAAAGAACTATGTGTCTTGAAGAAAATGTTCATGTTATTTTTGATGAATCTATCAACATGGCTGAGAAAGGTTTGAAGGATAATGACTATGATATGGGGCTCACCAGTAAAGGAACTTCTGGAGAACCTGCACAACAAGCTGAAGGGGGATCAGGGAATCCTGAGGGAGATAAAAGTGATCAGGAAGAATAGGAAGAAGAGAGATGTACACTGACTGATACTTAGACAGGTGAAGCTACAACTACTGACCTTGGTCCTTTGGGTCACTCTCTGCCAAAACCGTCTCTAGGTATGCAAGTTAGGCTATGGAAACATCAAAGCTCATACCCCCTTAAAGCATCATATTTGATCTAAATTCTGGAGTGCAAACCAGGTTATCTCTGAGAAACATGTGTGCACTCACAGCATTCCTCTCAGAAATTGAGCCTAAAAGCATAAAGGAAGCCTTAAATGACCCAGATTAGATAATAGCCATGCAAGAGGAGCTAAACCAGTTTGAGAGAAGCAAGGTCTGACACCTGGTGCAAAGACCCAGGAATAGAACTGTCATAGGTACCAGATGGGTGTTCAGAAATAAACCGGATGGGCAAGGCAATATCATAAAGAACAAGGCCAGACTAGTGGTTCAGGGGTACAATCAAGAAGAAGGCATTGACTATGATGAGGCATTTTCTCCTGTAGCCAGAACGGAAGCTATAAGAATGCTAATTGATTTTGCTGCACACATGAAATTCACTTTGTATCAGATGGATGTGAAGAGTGCATTCCTGAATTGTTACTTGAAGGAGGAAGTGTTTGTTAAACAGTCTCCTGGATTTGAAGTGAAGATTTCCCTGACTATGTGTTCAAGTTAGACAAGGCACTGTATGGACTGAAATAGGATCCAAGAGCCTGATATAAGAGACTCTCAAAATTACTATTAACCAATAACTTTGTAAGAGGTAAGGTGGATAACACATTGTTCTAAGGAACAGAGGAAAAAATCTTCTGATTGTGCAAGTGTATGTGGATGATATCATCTTTAGGGCTACTAATGAAGCAATGTACAAGGAATTTGCTGAAATGATGGGAAATGAGTTTAAAAATGAGCATTATGGGTGAATTAAATTTCTTTTGGGGGATCCAAATCAAACAAACACCTACTGGAACCATGATCTATCATAAAAAATACATAAAAAAACTATTGAAAAAATTTAACATGGAATCTTCTAAGTCAATTGACACTTCTACTGCCATTTCAACACAGTTGGATCTTGATGACGGAGGAAAAAATGTGAAACAAAAGCTATATAGAGGAATGATTGGATCAATGTTGCATCTCACAACAATCATGGATTATATTGTGCTCAGTGTGGGACTGTGTGCAAGATTTCAGGCAAATCCCAAAGAGTCTAATCTAAAGGCCATCAAAAGAATACTAAGATAGCTTAAAGGGAATCCTGATTTGTTTCCGTGGTATCTAAGAGGATATAACTTTGATCTAGTTGGTTATGCTGATGTAGACTATGTAGGTTTTTATGTTGACAGGAAAAGAACTTCAGGAAGATCACATTTTCTTGGTTCTTGCCTGGTGTCTTGGGGAACGAAGAAGCAGAACTCAATGGCTTTACTACAACTGAAGCATAATATGTGGCAACAACATCTTGCTATGCTCAATTGCTATGGATAAGGCAGCAACTCAGGGACTATGGTATTTTTGTTGATTGTGTTCCTATTTTTTGTGACAACACCAGTGCCCTAAATATTGCTAAAAGTCCTTGTCAGCATAAGAGAACCAAGCACATTGATATCAGACATCACTTTCTCAGAGATAATATTGAAAAAGGAAACATTTCAATAAATTTCTGTAAAAGTGAATATCATATTGCTGACATTTTTACTAAGGCACTGAGTAGGGACCACTTTGAAATAAAGAGACTAGAACTAGGATTAATCAACACCTCCAACTAGGTTGTACCCCAATGATTGGCAAGAAAAGAAGTTATTAGAGGTAGATAGTTGTGTATAAAATGCTTGATTCAGTCTCGTGCTTATCCTAAGCACACACACCCGCCTAGAAAGTCTAGTTGATGACTATGCCTTATGAAACTAACTTACTATTTTGAAAATTTATTGCAAAAATGACTAAAGAGTTGGTTCTTGGTCAACACAGTAAGTTAGTTTCTGGGCCAAGACTAGAAATGACTTGACTAGAAATGATTTGACTAGAAATGACTTGATTTTAATGGTTCTTGGACATCTTGTCTTAAATCATTATCATAAACTAGAACGTCTAGCTGATGACTATCTCTTCTAGTCAAATCAAGTCTACCCTATTTAAAATCCTCTCATTATACATCTCTCAAACCTCAATGTTCTTCTCAAACCCTAAGCAAAAACCAAAAAATCCTTCGTTCTCTCATCACCATGACAAAGTCAATGCAAACTCCCTCGAAGGCGAAATCTTCATCTAAGACTAAAGCAAAACCCAAAATTATAAAGCTCAAGCCTAAGAAAAGTACAAAATCAACCAGTGAATCTGCACTCACACCTGTTGCATCTCCACCCATACCCTCTATTGTACCTATACCATCGTCCTCTACTACTATTGCACCTTCAATTCCTACCAATACTAGACTTTTATCCCCAGACCAACTTCCCATGCACCTGTATGTATCTTCTGAAGCAGCTCCAAACCCACTAAGATCAAGGCTACTTCAAAGAAATCAGTAAAGAGTGGGAAGGTGGTGATTCATGCTGCTACTAAGGGATAACTAGAAGTTAAGGAAGATGTGGCTCAAGGGGAATCTACATCTGTCACGGTTGATCAGGTGAAATCACCTACATCAAAGCTTGATATTCTAGTCTCTGCTATTGAGGTTACCCCGTTGCAAATTGTTGCACCCATGAGTGACAAATCACATATAGAGGATACGACTATAGAAAAGGAAGTTGTAACGCAAGAGAAAAATGTGGACGCCATTGGTAATATACCTGTGGTTGAGGGGGAAGGTGAGAAAGAAGTAGAGAATAAAGAGGATTCTTATGGTACTTCTTACAATTGGACTGAGGATGAGGATGATGAGGATGATGAGGAAGTTAACGGGGAGGGAGGAGGAGAAGCCAGTTAGGAAGAGCCAGGTTCAGGAAAAGACTCATAGTACTGATGAGAATAAGAGTGAAAATGAGGGGGAATCAGGTGAGGAAAAAGAGAGTGAGGTAGAAGAACAACTAGGTGAACAAGTGGCAGACTCTACAGAAGAAGAAAAAGAAAGTGATGGAGAAGGTGACTCTGAAAGTGAGGATGATGATGATGAAAAAGGAAGTGAAAGTGATGGTACTGAACCTGAGAGTGAAGAGGAGAATTCTAGTGAGGAATCTGAAGGCTCCATGGCTATTGGGAATATAGCCACGGCCCCTTTAGAAGAAGTTCATGAAGAGGAAAGGCCTAAAGAACCTAGGTCTTTGTTAACTCCTTTTGTTGGAGATGATGATGTTGACAGTGATGAGGATGATTTGCCCATATCTGTGGTAGGAAAAAAGGTCAGGAAGGCCTATGTCAAACCTACACGACCAGTTCCCCAGGCAAGAAAGGAAGTGGCTCCTCTTGCTAGGACTCCTTTCACTAGGAGCAAAAGAAAAGTTGTAGTTGAACAGATAATCAAGGAGTCTAGGAGTGCCAAGAAAATAAGAATGAAAATTCCTACTGTTGAACCTGTAGTTAAGTTGTATGAAGAGTATAAATCTGGTCCTTCTCTGTAGATCAAGAAACCACCAGTGAAAAAGACTGCTGTTAAACTCACCAGGGCAACTGCTACCTTTTAGAAGGCCAGCAAAGGGAAGTAAAATAGGGTTATGTCTGCTGTGGTTGATAGACTGACTGAGTTCAAGAGTAGAAAAGTGTTGAATGGGAAGATACTTGCAAATATAGATGAGAAGGGTATGACCCAATTGGTTGAAAATCTTGATCTGCAGGGATGGAGACATATGTTTGTTACCTCCCCCTCCCCCCTTTAATGTGTGCCTACTGTGGTTGAGTTTTATGCAAACTTCCAGTTTGATGGCATAGCTATAAAGAGTTCTATAGCACAATTGATATAGAGTTTGATGCTGAAGTGCTTAGGCTGCTACTAAACATTCCTTTCTCTAGCATTTGACAACTATCTGAAGAAGAAATGGCCTACTATAGACAATGATGTTGACACATGCATTGTACTTACTAGAAAATTCTCCCAAAAGTTTGAGTTGGATGCTCCCTAGAAGGTGTACAAGACTAACATGACTCCTTTTCACAAATTGTTGTTTCACTGTGTGAACTCCTGCATCTACAGAAATTTGAGAGGAGGCATGAGGCCACCCTACTTGATATGGCTATAATGGAGTTGTTGGATAGAAGTAGAGCCATAAACCTTCCCAGCCTGATGATTCAGCACATGACAAGGGTTGCAGACACCTCTTAGCCTAAGCATGTCATGCCTTATGTCTTCATTCTAACTGAGCTATTTGACAAGCTCAACATAGCCTTGCTTGAGCTGAAGTTTAGGAATCACAATAATATTATGGATGTTGTTACACTCAAGCAGTGTGGTTATGAGGAGATCAAGGCTAGAGGGCCAACTAGTTTTGCTATTCTACCTGGTAGTAGCAGGGCAGTTGAATTCTCTAAAAGGTTAAAATTGAATTTAGAAAATAATTTTAAGCTTAGAGAAGACAAAGATGAGCTGCAAAGAAATCCACGCAACTCAGGGAGGAGCTCATAAAAGAGAGAGGCTTATGCTCAACAGATTGCCTGTCACGCCCCAACCTCGGGAGGCGCGACCAGCGCTCAATCGAGTGAACCCAACTGAGCAAGCCTTATTAACACTTTCTACCCAACTCAATACGATTAAGGAAACCATGCTTTCGTTTATTTAGACAATAGCAAAATCGAACATTCAACATTGTTAGTTCATTTTTATATCACAAATCTTAAATCATGGCTAAGCTTCCAAGATTTCATACAGTTATAGTTTGTAAGAACTAGAGTATATAGTTACAACACAGTTCATTAACCCATCCAACACCCCTACATAACTCACACAAACGTCTACGGAGCCTCTAAGGATACAAAAGACGAATTATGACAACGCCGGCAACAAGGCCCCGGTTATACCTCAAAGTAGAGGTCTACAACAAAAGATGTACCACATAAACCCTTGAAGGAAAAAGGGGCTCACCAAGACTTCGAGAGGAGGACACTCTGCTACGCGCGATCGGCACTGTCCGCTATAGAGCCACCTATATTCATTTAATAATGTAGTGCCCCCGGCAAAAGGGACGTTAGTGCCATGGAATAGTACTAGTATGTATAACTAAACACCATTTAGATAGAAAGAACGTTCATACAAGAATAAGGGAATCACAAGTATACTCAAAAACTTTAAACAATCACAACATTATCAAATAAAAGAATCATACAATTTTCACATCATTTTTCCACAGATTTTAGTTTGGGGCATTTCTCACTGTTCATCATTGTTCACAATACCACCGCTATCTTGAGCGGAGTCCGATCTCAACCCGATCGGCTAGGTTGCCTTATTTGAGACATATACTTCAATCACAATCTCATTTTCCCTTTTTCCGGAATTCAATATCAGCACAATACCACCATGTGTGCGGCATTGCGTCCGATCTCGGCCCGATCGGCTAGGCCGCCTTACCAAGCCATTTCCCTTTTGCATCAATCATCTCATTTTAGTCTTTGTTTCACATATATCATTTCATAGGCTCTTGGGGCCATAGCTATCACATCATTCTTGGCACTAGGCCACATTTCACATCATTCCCAATTTCAATATTAGCATGCCATTTAGGATAATAGGTGCACACAAGAGCAATTTAAATTGTAAGCATAGATAAAACTTCACATAGATGGCACAACAAACGCAGCTTCAAGAATAGCATTTTAATACATGATTCATATTCTTCGCACCCTTTTCAAGTTATCAAGAATAGTACATTGATCATATTGAGACACACCGTTCACGTATATAAAGTTGCAACACCAATTCATGTGAAATAACAATCAATAGAATAATCCAACTTTAATCTTACCGTATTAAAACAAACACCAACGGAGCTTAATTTCTACAAAGACGGGGTTTTAGCCATACATACCTCAATAGAGCTTTTCCTTAAATTCTTACAAAGTTCCGGGACTCTTAGCAACTTCAATCATTTTATAGGAATTACAAATTGAACCAAGAATTAGAGACATGATTAAGGTTCTAGATCATTTGAGCATATTATCAAGCACTAAGTGTGCATTGTGATCTTATGTCCCTTTTGTGAGAGATTTCTTCAATCTTATACTCCAATTGCTATCCTTTTAGTTCACAACCTCTCCATACCCCATTATCTTTTATGCATGCAAGATTATCAACCCTCATACCCATGAATCCACTTGCTAATCACTTATTTTAATCGAAATTTCGAAATTATAGATTGGGGCACAAGTTCTTATCTCTTAGGGTGAAGACCTAATGATTTCACTTGACAATCTTCAAGGATTTGGGGCAAGAATTGAGTGGGGACTTGATGAAGATCACTCCCTCTCTTTCTAGACTTCCTTTCTCACTCTATATGTAGTAAAATAACATAAAAAGGGTCGGATGGGGTGTTTTTAATGGGATGGGGTCGGGTTTTAAAAGTTATAAAATTGGAGCCCCGACACAATCTGCGATCTCATATGCAATCGCATAATTGACATGCGGCCCGCAAAATGGACCGGAAAAATGGCTTCAAAAACCTGAACACACTGCCCGAGTATGCGACAGGAATGCAGTCTGCATACCTGTTCTGCGATCGCATAATGCACCGCAGAACTGCCCCTCGCAAAATTCCAAGGGGATTATGCGATGACTATGCGACCCGCATATTGATTATGCGATCGCATAATTGGCCGCATAGTTGACCTCAAAATTACCATCAAACTGCCTGACTCTGCAGTGACTATGCGGTCCGCATAGTTATTATGCGACCGCATAATGGACCGCATAAATGCACTTTTCTGGCAAACATTTTTCCTTAACTTTTAATGCATAGATCAGTCCAAAGGGTCCGAACTAGCTCTCGGGTTTTGAGTAGAAATTTTTCACGGGGCCTTACATTGCCATCCTTGTGAAAGCCTTGACCCCCTCTTCTTCTCATCCTTAATCTTGGTCCTGTACCCCTTATCGCTAGTCTATTTTGTTAACTAGTGGTGCCTTTTGTTTTTGTTATTCTAGTTCTAAGTCGTTTGCAGGATATTTCAGCTTATTTTGTTTAAATGTTTTAGTTCAAGGTCATAGGCTTAATTTTGCACTACTTAATGAAATCTCTCGTGTTGTTTACCTGCTTCTCGCATAGTTTTTATCATCAGCATAGTTCATTAGTCTTGATTTATATTGTGCTTGTATTGTAGGCTCGATGGCCATGAATCTTGATTAACTATACGTGTCTGTCTAACAGATTTGTTTTTTTTCCGATGATACCCAAGGGGAGAGATAGAGTTGGGGGGGGGGGGGGGGTTGATGCTCTGAATTGGGTCCCAATGTGTTTGTGTCACCTTGTGTTGTTGTTGTGCTGCTACTGTTGTGATCGGCTGATCATGTATTAAATTACGCCATTACCTGGTGTACGCGCACAAAGTTTGTCATCGTTGAGAAGGGGGGTTATTAGAGAATTGGGGTTTTGATGACTAACAAAGTGTGTCCAATGAACGTATGCCAAGAAACAGGTCCTCAAGGTAGCTGATGGAGGTTCTTACATGCCAGTAATATTTTCAAAAGTTACCCTAGTATGAGATTGTTGGAAAAAGGCTGTTAAAGTGAAAAGGGTCGTTGTCCAAGAAGATATGCTCGTATATAAGTGATAGATAAAAGTAACCAGAGTTGTGGACTCCTAGGAACTATAGGAGTTGTTGTTTACTCGTAAAATGGTACAATTGAATTTATACGTGGTTTGTAGACAAATGAATCAATTCGATCCTAAAATAATGAAAGAATTGAAGAAATATGTAACACTTAACCTTGATATGAAGACGAAATAGCAGAATTGTAATTCTGGAAGCGAGGCCTCCGGGCGCAAAAATAATGAAACCAAAAAGTGAGAAGATAAAATTGTATATATCTTTGAATTGATTATAGCATAAGTTTTTCCAAAAATTCCTCCCTTTACAATGATAACAAAGCTCACTATTTATAGCTACACCTAGAGAAAAAGGTCCTAGGATCCTTCCCTTCTTTAACGTCAATTATGAGGGCCATTGATGAAGGTGTAACGGTGAGCATAAATGACAAGTTCTCTATAACGGGCAACACACTAAATGCTGTGGAATACTCTCCATTAAATGCCACCGGGCGGAGGGTATTTTATTTTTATGAGTATCATTCTTTCCGGTGACAAACGGGATAATTGCCTTCGGTTCTAACTATAGCCCACCTTAGGTTCCACGTGTCACTCTCTTAAGCGGCCACTTAGCATAGCATATTTTACCCTATACAGATAGTCCCCCTGCTTTCCGATGACATAACTTTGTGTCACCGGGAAGTTGGTAGAAATACTCTTTTTGGCGGAAATTACTATGATTCCTTCTGAAAAGCTCTTCACCGTTGATTAGACGCACATCTCTTCGCATTTAATTCCCCGAACATACGTTCATCCCCGATTCATCATAACGTTTGCCGGTTATCGAGGTAATCACGGCCACGGATTCAGCCGCCTAAACCTTACTTATGCAC